AATTTATTTAATATGAATTTTTTTGATTTTTGAGGATTCAGGTAATGTATTATAAGTAAAATATAGAGTTCTATTTTCATATTCTAAAATTTCTTGTATTGTGGGTTTTCTTTTTAATAAATTACCACCATTTTTAAGTGTTTTGCAAAAAAAAAGTAGAAACTTGATTATGATTCTTTTTTTCTACAGTACAACAAAAAAATACATTAGACTCCATCTTTAATATTTTTCTAATAATTCCCATTCATGATATACCAATGCATGCATATAAGGAGTTACTTGACTTGGCATATATAATCCTTGTATAAATGTTTTTGAAAAAGAAGGATTTTCTTTTGATGGTGTAAGAAATAAAGATAACCATTCATATGATTGTTGTTTTAATTGTATTGGATTTGTTGTTTTATCTTGAATAGAACAATATATATCATAAAATCCATCCCAAAGTTTTCATATTAATTGTATATGAGATGGTTTAAAAAGTAATTTTAAATTAAAAAATTGTAAAACAATTTCTTTATCATTTCCTATAAGAGATGTATATTTCCAAATATGTGATTTTTCATCTTCCCAAAAATAGAAAGATACTTTTAAATGTTGCATCTCATCCATAATAATTTTTCGTGTTAAATCATTAAATAAACCACATTCTTGAATTTCTGTAAGTATTAATTCCCAAAGCTGATCAGTAATTCGTAAAAGAATATGTAATTCATCAAAAATTATATGATCAATTGGAATCATATCAAAAAGAGGAGGATGAATATGACCACGAATTTCATTATAATTTGTTACAATTTGCTCTATATTTTTTTCAATATGCCAATCTTTATTTAAATCTCCAATTTGATCTTTAGAACATAAACACCAAGGACAAAAATATTTGGAATTTGCACTATTTAATCTAAGACAAATAGCTAAAAATTTCCAATCTGCACTAAAGTATAGTTCAAATTTCTATAATATTTTAGATATTTTTAATTCAAACTCCTTAAGTGATCATAATTCATTACAAAAAGGATTCAACATAAATTTAAGTGTACTATAATTTTCAGTTTCTGGATATAATGCTACAGTATAATAATAATCTGCATGGTGTTGTCAATTTTCATGATTTAAAATCATAAATGTTATCATAATATGTTCGATTTTTTTTCCTACATTTTGCCTATCACCAGAAACACGTAAATGAATAATTGGATCTGATAATTTTAATATTTTTTGTTTTTGTAGTTGTGGAATAAGATAATACAAAATATCTTTTATACTATGACGAATGCCTAATCCAATTGTATTAACAACTTCTTGTATTATTTCAAAATTCATAATATCTGATTCTTCAGGTTCTATAATGTCTTCTAGTTCATTCTTTTCTTTTATATCAACTAATGAAATTTTGATTATATTATTCATATGGTTAGTGATTGCAATTCATTCATTAGAAACAGAATTTTCACATGGTAAATGGTATTCTACAGCAGCTAATTCTCGATAAGAATCTCTTGATATTTGCCCTTGATCAACTGTTTTTACTATAGATTGAATTTGAGAATTTTTTTTTATTTGATCTTCATATCTGAAATTCACTTGAAAGTCTGTTTTATTAACAGAAAATTCAATTGCTTTTAATTTAACTTCATCAGATTGGTGATAAATTCCTTTAATATCACTACTAAAACTGGATTGCATTTTTGTTGCAATTTTTTTAGCGCGTTTTTCAAGTGTTGACAAAATACAATTATCAGCTGGTTTGATTAAATTTCCTCTTCTTTTCGATTCACGTGCTTTCTGCACACTTTCTAATTGTAACCCAAATACAAGAGGACCCGAAAGTGTAGTTTTGGTTCTTGGTTTTAAAGTCTAAGGGAAAAAAAATACATTAATAAATTAAACAATTATGGTTAATACAACATTACAGCATTAGCTTTAAATACTTACTCTTTCATAAATTAATGCTACATTAGACGGAGATTTAGTTGAAGAAATAATATACTGAAAGTTTGGACCATATCTAATACGAAACTGAGGTATTTCGTCAATATAATCAATTTCACAGCAAACTGTTTGTTTGCCAGCAGCCCGTCCCCAAGTTGTTTCTACAACATAACCATGTGGAATTTTGTACTGTTTACTTTGCCTTTTCCTTCTAATATTGCTAGTATCTTGCAAAGTTTCGGTTCGTTCTTTTTGTTTATTACTTGGCCTAGTAACAATCTTGTCAGGATAAATACCCTCTTTTATAATAACATAACTAAAACTACGTTTGGTTTTTTGATTTACGTGTTCCCGATATAAAATATTATTATTCAAAGGATATGTGGAAGTTTCTTGAATTTGAACACCATACTCTACGTTTTCTGTGTCACTATCCATACTTTTTGCATTAAATGTTAAAACTTAAAAAATTCATTTCAAAAATGAATACATAAAACGTACTTATTTTTATTGGTCAAATTTCATGTGACTTTATTTATACTACACCCCCTGAATTTTCTCCATTCTGCAGATCGGCGGATATGTATGTTCGTAACTCGATTCTACTAGCAAACCTCCCATATTTCAAGCTATTGCGAAAGAAGTTTAGGCCTAACTATTATAAATCAGAATATTATCGAACCATGAAATATTTTTTTAAAAAAAAATCGACAATTGCTGCGACCCGCAATGATCCAACCCAAAAGTAATCGAACAAAAAAAAAAAATAAATAAAAAAAAAACCCCCCCGTTAACAAAGTCAGCCCAAAAGAGTCGGCTCAATATCGCATTGTCATCAATTAAGATAATTATATGGGATGTTTGCTATTAAAGTCGAGTTACGAACTTATGATCCGTAAATGTGATTTTCATAGTTACCTCCCCATATAGTGATAACCCGCCAAAAAAAATTTTTCAACATCACATGACCTAATTGTATAAATTTAACTTGGCGCTCCTAGTCCTAATTTACTTTAAGAGAGTCGAAGTAGAACCGAAGAGGTACCGAAATGGAACCCGTCCCCATCCCTAGCAGAAGATCGAACCGACACTTCACGAAAAAAACCTATAAACAAAAAAAAAAAAATAAATTATAAAATTAATAATCAAAAAAAAATAATGTAAAATAGGAAACGGAGTAAAAATCTAACACACTGGAAAATAAATCATCTATCGCTGCAATCCGAAGTTATCAAGGAAGAAAAAAACCAAGCAACCGAAAACGAAATATCCAAATTCCAAAAATAAATAAATAAAACAACTTATTCGCGCCAACGATCTCATCTAAGTTAAAAGTAATAAGAGAACAAAGAGTACAATTAATTTTTTTCTATATCTAATCAAATTTAGGTTAAGAAAAATTTTCGAAACAAAAGTATCAATTAAAATTTTTGTTACTTAAAGCATAAAAGATAATAACATACGGGTATGCTAACAACTGGATTAAATGTTAAATCGCACATAATCAATAGCATGCGTTTCGATATACCAGAAATTACTCCTTCCTTGCAAAATGAACTCCTAAACGTAATTTTTTCATCATTAAATAAGATTTGATTTGCAATACTTATTTATAATTTGTCATATACTAAAAATTAAGTGAAAAAAAATACTTAGCCTTTGGCAACATTTCAATGATAACGTTATTACTTTTGAAATAGTAGAATAAATATCATATTGACTGGAATTCTAACTCAACTTCTGTTGCTGAACGGCTCTTTATCATTTGGTTTCAAAGACATTAGTTTTTTATGTTAACATGCTTAACATAATACACTCATGCTTTTATTACCATTCCCAATTCCAAATTTTGGTAGCTTTTATAAATTTCCTTTATTATCTTCGTATTCAGGAGCTTTTGAACTTTAGAAATTTGCAACGAAATTATGGAGAAATTTGTGAAATTTAAAAACCACTTTTAATGATCGCGTTTTCGTTGTTAATTGTACAGAACATGCGACCAACGTTTTAAGCACACCAACTATACAGCATTTCTTAATGAATATGGATTACAAAAATTAAATTATGGATATTACTCAATAATAATTTGCAGGATTGGTCAATACACATTATGAAAGTGCTTTCAACGAGCTTTTTGAAATACACCATAAAATCTTTTCGGGAAATCTTCAAATTGTTTGTAAGAATTTGATTTAAAACGATAACAATGTTATTAGATTTTCAAAAATGGATTTAGGAATTTGACATAAAGGATATTATTGAATTAACGTTTGGAAGCGATCTCATGGGGTATTTCGGTGGTGGAAAAAAAAACAACAATGGTCATCACTAGTTCGATAGATTTGATCGATTTAGAATTTTTATTTCAACTTTATGGTTTATTAGATAAGCTATTGAGAAATGAACAACAAAGATAATGTTAAAATTGACATTCAAGGAATTACATCACGACAGGACATGCGTAATATTATATTCGTTTAGTGTTGATATTTTCATTATAATTTCGATTTAATGAAGACGAATTGAAAATTTTATGAAACAATTAATATACAGACTTTGGTGATGAAATATTGAGGGTTGAGTTTTTATATTAGGAAAAATTTATATTATCCTTATTGCTTTATTTACTTGAATGTTTTATGTTGCGGAAGTGTAAAACAAGCTCTTTGACTTTATATTGCATAGATTTTCATTCTTGAAGAGCTTTAATAATTTCTCTTCTTCGCAAATATTGAACGGATATATTCATTTATATAAAGGGTAAATTTATCAAAACGAAATATTTCGTAAAACATTATTATAATAGTTTGGGAGATCAATAAATTATTGGCCAAGATAAAAGTAAAAAATTCAGCCATTCATCAAAAAGTTCTATTTTTTGAGATTCCGAAACTTCCAATATTTCAATATTTCCAAAGATGAAATTTTGATTTGAACTAAAATCATATTCACAGAATAAGGAAGCACGGAATAAAATATTTACATGCGACTATTAAAAAAATATGAACACTGTAATAACATGAAGTTATTATTATGTGAACATGTTCTTAGTTTTAGAAATTTTAATTTTTTAATACATTTGGGACCTTTGCAATAGAAAGGGGGAAACAGCTGGGAAAAATAAAAAATGAGTTAATGCTAAATCTGAACATATTTTGATCTAAATATCATAGCATATAAAGTAAAATTGATATTTCCCCCATTTTCTATTGCAAAGGTCCCATTTATTTAGGTTTATAAAGAATAATTTATTTCAAGGAAGTAACGCAAGTGACAGCTGTGGGGACAAATATTATTTACCATAATAGTCACATGAATTTAGCAATCGGACAGTAGACTTTTATATAATTTTGACTTTTGACGGGGACTTTATTATGGTATTGAGTTTCATCAATAAGAGAGTTTTGCTGGGGATAAAAAGCTCGGACATGCGATTTTATACGCATAGTTGTAATAATCATTATACTCACGATAACGGCTCCTGTGACAAATAGATTTCACATAGTAAAAAAATGAAACATGAGGATATGACGGATACAGTCAACAAATCTTGAACCGAGTTCCGTTAGAAAAAAAAAGTCGATATATATAAATTATATTTTTTTATATGAACCATTACAAAGAACTATTATAAAATTTAAAATTTTTGAGTTCGCAATCTTCGTTATAAAGAGATTCGTTTTTGACTGTAATTTATATAAGTTACATGTCTGAACTTATTCATTGGTTATGCTAGGAAAGTTAATCGGATTAGTAAATTCTAAATATAATGTAGTTTAGCCAGAAATATCATGTTAATATCCCTAGTTAGATAATAAAATAAAATACAATAATGTAATTATAGTGAGGGATTTAAAAAATATGATATTCAAATCTTTTTATTTGAAATATATAACACGTTTAATATTATGTAGCGTAACAACGTAAAATATTTAATTTCAAAAAAAAATTATAAATCAAGATCAATTTCTTTATAAATATAATCTATGTAAAATTGAAAACAATTAATTATGTATCAATTGTATATCTTCATTATAAATATTCATTACTTACTATCATTATTAGATTCATTGCGATAATTCTCATTGACTTTGGTTCTTTTATTATTTTCATCTTGAATTTTAAATATATTTATTGAGTATTATTAGACACTTAAAATAAAATTATCATATACCATAGTCATGATCTTCGAATTTTCTTTTGCCTTTAAAAATAAACGAGATAAATAATATAATCAGTAATCGTTAAAAACAAAAGATGATTATTATTATTAAATAATGTCTATTTACCAAATATACTTCGACTTTTTGAATTCCTGTAGATTCTGCAGATATTAATAATATTTTATTCGTCGGTCCAATATCCTGAGAATTGGTAATTTTCATTTGATGCTTTTTTTCATTCAAAATGATTTTACCAATAAATTCAAGAATATCCTCAGTTGTTGGTCTTTTATTTGGATCAAAAAGCCAACAATTTTGCATTAATTCGATATATTCTTCAGGTGCATCTGTGATAATAGGAGGACGAAAGCCATCACGAATTCTAATACGAAGAACTGTATCATAATATTGATCCCAAAAAGGCCTTCTGCCTGTCATTAATTCATACATAATAATTTCAAAGCTATAAACATTTGAGGCTTTTGTATATTTATTACTTGTTCGCCCTTTCAATACCTCTGGAGCAATATAAGGAATAACCCTATAATAGTCATTTTCATTAACCGTTGACAACTTACTAATTCCTAAATCACTAATTACTACATCATATTCATTATCACAAAGAATATTCCCACTATGAAAATTTTGATGGATGATTCCTTGGTAATGAACGTTATGAAGTGCATGGATAATTTGCCGTAAAATTATTAATATATTCTTCCATTCAATACTATAAAATTTTTCGGCAATATAATGCTTTAAATCATATTTATAATATTTCATAACTATTACAAAATCTTTTGTTTCAGGATTTTGAGTAACTCCATAATATCTATTTAAATTAAGTAAAGAAATGATGAATCCATCATTTAAATTAGCATGATAAATCATCTTAAGCTAAATTTTAAAGAAGTGTATGTATAAATTAATATAAAATTATATACATATGTATTATAATCATAATACAATATTTTTTACCTCATTTAATTCTTTTAAAGTATTATCTTTAGAATTATTAAATTGTTTTAAAACAACTATTAGATTAAAATCTTTATACTCAAAATTTTCTTTTTCTTCATTCCAATAAGGCAGTCCATTATCCATAATGTTTATAAACTTTATTAAATCCTCTTTTATCAATACTTTTTATGATTTTAAATTGATTATGAGGAATAAATAACATTTTAATATATTCTTGAATAAATTAATTTGCGTATATTTAATAAATTTATCAACTATTTTATTTTCACTTGGCTGAAATAATAATTTAGATTG